GGGACACCTTTAGGACGTGAAGAGGGGTCTTTGAACGCTCCTTAGACTATATAATCAGTAGCTGCCACCTATGTTAGGGTTGGGGGTTTTGCTTTAGACCAATCTGTCATTGAACAGTCGACGTTATCGGTTTGTGAAACCCATATATCTGCAATTGTCACTATACTTGAGTTACGTGTTATCTTGTTATTGCTTGTATTCTTCGATTCCTAGCAGGGATTAGCCTTCTTGGCGAGGTCAACCGGATTGTGACATGGTTGATAACTAGAGGAGACGTGGCGCTAAGGTTACAGGGTTCGGGTCTTTGTGATCTAAAGCCGGATCGGTGCGTCGCTCTCCGACCAAATCGTTGTTTATCTTGAACCTGACGGAAGATCGGGAACCCCGTTCCCATCAAGTGGTATTCAGAGCTTCAGATATACCGTCAAGTTCGCATTTATCTTCTAGTTCGAGTGTTTTTCGTCCTATAAATCCAAAAAATTACCCTACAAAAATATTTATGTTTTTTATTGTTCATCCCTTATCCTATTACCCATTGTGCCATTGTAATGTTTTTAATTTTAATTTGCTTTATGGAACGGTCGTCCCTCGCATATCCCCGTGTTCGTTGGTTTAATTGAGTCTTGGTCTAGTTCTTTTTTTAGCATGAATTTCATCTTCTGTTTTTGTGATGGAACGCTGGTTTCCATGTTGGTCTTGTTTCTGATAATAGAAGATCCCTGTAAGTTTCCAAATAGGTTTTCCTTTGTGTCTGCCTTCATAGAAAGTAATCCTAGTTTATTTGGAAGGCCTAAGTTTTCAATCTCCAAGAGTATCACGATAGTTCATTTGTTTTAGTGCATGCCTTGGTCATTTTTCTACAACACGTTCTGGTGTTGTCTGCGCCATTAGAACTGGTCTAGCTTGCTTTGTTTTTTTCTTCAGGCCGCTAAAAAAAAAAGAAAAGTCAGCGTGTTATAGAAGGAAGAGGTTTCTTCTAAGTTTTCCTTGATCGGCGCCAAAGAACTTGGCTGCGTTCAGTCCGACAAACGTGCTGCTGCTGTGGATGTGCCTAGCTCTATCGCTCTAGTTTTTTATTACAACAAGTTGTATCTTGAAATATTATTTTGCGGCACCCTTCTGAGAAAAAAAAGCCGCACCTAAAAAAAAGAAAAGAAAGAACGAAAAAAAGAGAAAGAAAGTGAAAGAAATATTCAAAAGTGCTTGCATCCCTTGTGTCCAGTGTCCTTGTGCTAAGTTGTATCATTGCTTGCTTAAACTAGGTTCAAGATGAGTTTAGCCCGACGACATAGATTAGCTCGAGACTACTTTTCAATCTTGCAATTTCTGAATTAAATTATTGTTATTCCTTACCACCATATTGTGTCTCCCAAGCTCCACATATACTTCAGATCAGTATAGAAAAAGACCCTTGCAATCTTGGTGACACGCCCTCACAGGTATCACGAACCAGCCACCGGTTGTACCGTCCACTACTTTACGTTGCTAAGAATCTTGTAAGAGCTTGGTAAGACGTGTGAGAGTGTGTTTCCACTGACACAGATAATAGTTGATAGGGATTTCTTTTGATTTCTAACAATATCAAACAATGAGTTTATGTTTAAGAGTGAATTGCAGGAAATCTTGGACCAGAGAAGTTTGCACGTATGGACCCAATAAAGAAAAATCAGCCATCACATATAAACTATGATCATCAAGGTATGAGAGGTAAATTGACCATACCATCTCCTATTCTAGATTTTATGATGGAGAAAAATATTTTGATTAGGAGATAGTTATAGAACAAGAGTTTAATTCGCACCTAGTTCCTGAGATACATAGAGTTAAACACGCCACTACCAAGTTCAAAGATTTTACTCAATTCTGGTGGCGAGAACTAGGCAATATGCATTACAGTCTGATTCATGAGATATACTAAAAGAAGCAATGCGTGACAGATTTATTCCTCCTCCTTATAAACGTAATTTACGTAAGAAATTGCAGCGTTTAGAGCACGGAGATATGTCTATCCAAGAATATTATGAAGAGTTTCAAAAGTGCATAATATGTTGTGGGATAGTAGAGGACATGGAAGATAAAATTGTTCGCTTTTATGATGGTTTGAGGTATGAAATATAGGATATTGTTTATCATAAAAACTTTTGTACTGCTAACCGTTTGTTCCAGCTTGCTATGCTAGCAGAAAAAGAATTACAGGGATATCAGCAAACAAACCAGACCAACATTGGTGACAACCTCAACCAGATTTTAGCAAGAGTGGAGCAAGCATTTGCAAAGGTCGAGACTGCGATAAGAAGGCGAGTGGCTGCTTCCACCTTCACCACCACCACCACCTCCCACACACACTTTGGAGTCTGGTAAAACTTTAAACCATGCTGAAATTGTACAAACTAATGGAGATGGAGCTGCTAATGGAAAGAAAGAATTAGATGTTAAATCTAAAAATAAACAAGTATCCGAATTGAAAGGTTCTTTTATGCTTGCTACAAAATTTGATATTGTTGAAATTAGTGATGATATGCCAAATTTGTTCACCACTGATGCTATAATAGAGCAACACTTAGTGGACACTAAATCTGAATTGTGTTTGTCACAAAATAATTGTTCTAATAATGCTAGTGATAAAGAAGAGTTGTGTGACAATGCTTTTCTTATACCTATGCCACAACTAGTCAATGAGGATGATGCTTTTGTTCTGGAACCAAATACCTGTGTTACAAATAAACATTTGCTTCCAATTACTACTTAAAGGGATGAACTAAAATTGTTGTATTTTTTAAATACTTTGGGTTATATTGAATTCAATACTCTGTGTGCTCTAAGTAGTTTGAGGGAGAACTTTTTATACGCTGAATTGCCATGGATGTCTAGATGTACATATCACTTTATTGGCAAATATAATTATAATGGGAGTATATGGTGCATCGTGTCTATATTTGTTCAAATCTAAAATCTCCTTATATTGTGCAAAAATATGATCAACCAAAGGACTGTAATTGCTATAATCTTGTCATGTCGAGCTCCCCTAGTTTTGTTATAAAGAAACATATTAAATTTCAAGAAGGGGTGCAATGTTGGCTACTACCCATAACTTGTCCTTCAACTAAGCTCAAACCGAGGATGGTTTGCTGTCAAGAAGGGGAGGATTTTGATGGGGAAGGGGTTCCCGATCTTCCGTCAGTTTCAAAATAAACAACGATTTGGTTGAAGAGCGACACACCGATCCGGCTTCAGATCACAAAGACCCGAACCCTGCAACCTTAACACCACGTCTCCTCTGGTTATCAACCGTGTCACAATCCGGTTGACCTTGTTAAGAAGGCTAATCCCTGCTGCGAATCGAAGAACACAAGCAAAAACAAGATAACACGCAACTCAAGTATAGTGACAATTGCAGATATATGATTAAGATCTCGAATGTGGGGTTTCACAAACCGATAATGGCGACTGTTCAATGACAGATTGATCTAAACCAAAACCCCCAAACCCTAACGTAGGTGGCAGCTACTGATTATATAGCCTAAGGGGCGTCAAAGGACCCCTCTTCACATTCTAAAGGTGTCCCAACACGTTACAAGCACCCTGACAGATTTTGGACTTCAACTTGTTTCAACGATTTCCATCGACTCAGATGGAATTTTGATGTGGGACTACTTCCACCTTATCAAATTATCTTTCTATCCATATATGGATCGTTGAAAACGGAGTCCGTATGCAACCTGGACGTCCGTTTTACTACACGCTGCTCCTAAAACCCGTGATGGACTCAAACTTGTCTTGGCTTGGGCCTCCAACTTGGCTTGGACGCCCTTGCTTGCCTCATAAGTTGGTGGCCAAGGGGGAGGACGTCGAAGGGCTTTGATTATGTGTTCTCCATCTCCTTGGGGCATGCTCCAACTTGGGCTGGGGTCCCAAGGGTAAATAGCGAGCCCATGATGACGACATAGCTCCCGGCAGAAATAGCGATAGCATGTCTTGATGATTTGGTGGCCTTGCCGATGTGATATTGAGATGAGACCAGATCCATTTGAAAGCTTATCAAACAAGCTTTCGATCAAGTACTCATTGACCACAATTGCACTCTAGATGGATGAGTTATGACCTTCCCAATGAAGTATTATCGGGTCGTCGGTGAACTAAAAGTTCAACTTAGATGGACTTGCACTTTGAGACATATTTATACCTACAAGTAAATAATGACATATACATGTTGAACCAAGTGAATTGTACAAAAAATCACTAAGCAAATGTAGGAACGAGCTCACCTTATAATAAATGGTCATATCCGATGGTGTGATGTCTTCGTCAGTTTGTTTCATTGACCAACGGGTGTGGTGGATGAGGATTCGACCTCACTAAGGCTTTGTTCGGTTATATCAGAATGATTCCCAGCCGCATAATTCCTACTCAAATTTGTACTAGCCAGGAAATGTTCTGCCCCAGGAACGACCCGTTCCGGCATAACCGAACGTGGCCAGCAGGGTAGGACCGTAGGCGGACGGCATCAGTAGGCAAGAAGGAAAAGATAAATGAAATGCCCCCCACTGTAGTCCTGTAGATACCTAATTATTTAAGCCCACAAGCAGGCAGTAGCCAAATTCAAGTAGAGACAATTCTCTGTGAGCCACTGTAAAAGACGTAACTTCCTTGTTAGCCATCAAAAAAGTTCATCTTTCCTCTCGACCATCACTTTGATTTTTTCAACCCCTCAAGGCCACTGCCGTCAACTTTTCTGGTAACAGCAGCTAACAGGAGATTGAAATGTCCCTTTTGCCCCTCTTACAAGTGGACCCCACCAGGGGCGGAGGGTAGTGGAGGCCAAACTGGGCCTCTGCTCCTCCTTGTTTGACAAAAATTCAATAACCCATAAATCCCTAGAAATCTAAACTACATGTCTATTTAACATTTCACCATGATTTGATGTTAAAGTAAACAATTTAGCCCCCTCTAATTCATGGGCCACGCTTCGCCACTGGACCCCACGCGTCAACTTTTCTTCTTCATCCTATCTTCTTCGAGCAGGCGAAGGAGACGACGGACGAGTGCGGCCGCGTCCGGAGCCGCTCCATGTGCCGGACAGCGCGCTCGCAGTCCCCATTCCGCACGCACTGGCGGTCCACGTCCCACGCGCCTGCAGCAGTTGGTGCCGAAGCCGGAGTCCGCCGACGAGCCGGTGCCAAAGCTAGAGTCCGCCGACGAGGCGCCGAAGCAGAGCGCACCGTCACCTTCTCCGTCTCCCGCGCTTGCGAAGGGGAGGGTTGGGGCGGCGGGCCACCGCAGCAGGAGGAGGTCGGCGCACGAGCGTCGTGCACGGCCTGCTCCTCTTCGGCTGTATCGGGCTTGGCAACCGCAGCTACGGTGTCGTGCACGGCCTCGCCAGGGGGCTCAACGCCGCCGTCGCGCAGACCTCCGCTCGGCTCGGCGGCGTCGTCCTTGTGCTGCTGCTGCTCCGGGCCGTAACCACGTCGACCCACGCCCCACCCGGTGCGAGGTTCCGGAGCACCCCGGCTGCCGGGGCCTGGGTCGCCGGGGTGTCACTGGCGCAGGCGACCAGGAGCGCTACCACCCCGCCGCGCACGGCCACGTCCGCGGACGCGTCCCGAGATGTCACCCTCAGCGGGAGCAGCGCCATGCACGCGTGCTCCGCGGCCGCGCTGCCGGACTCGAGCGTGCGGCACAGATGGGGCACCATGGCACCGGCCTCCTGCGTCAGGGACAGTCGTGTGACGTCCGAGGATCGGAGGATGCGAAGGTGGCCAGCGCAGCCACGGCCAGGAGGAGGTCCTCGCCGCGGCTACTGCAAAGACGGCCGCGGCCGTGGAGGGCGCCGGCAGCGCCGCCAACGAGCATGCCAGCTCCTTCCTCAGCGCGGTGGCACGGGAGGCCGCGGACCCCAGGCGAAGCCGGGGTCGGGAGACGAAAGCGTCCACGGTGGAACTGGAATCGGGGGTGGGCTCGGCGAGGAGACACGCGGCGGCTGCGAGGTGGGGAAGCGAGGCGACGGTGGAGGACAACAGAGAGAAGGGTACAATGGCCATTATCACAAGAACCTGACATCGGCGTCCACAGTAACGTTATTTCTCATTAACGGAAATGACGGCAGTGGTCTACACGGGTGTAAAAAAATGAACTAATGGTCCAGACGACACATGAAGTTTTTCAATGGTAGCTAAAGAAATCGGATCTTTTATAATGGCCTACATGGAATTCTCTCATTCCAGTACGGTCTGATTCGAATCCCTGGTATGCTTTCGTCCTCCCCCAGGTCTAATCTTGAGGTTATTATTATTATTGAAGGAGATCAAAATACCACGGTGAGTCCGTGAGGGGGCACGGAGCTAAAATTTGGAAAAGTTCATAAGTTTCTACCGATAATTGATTGAAAGAAGGTATTACCTCTTATTCTATCCGTTCCTATCATCAGGTGGATGATTTTCCTAATCCAACAGACATTGTATATATTATATTATTTATTACCTAATTCTCCAACGTGTGTTCTCCATGTAGTCATGTATTACCTGATAAGCTCCAGGTGACAACGTGTTTTATTTCTATATAACGCTACAAGATTTCGCAGCAACGCACGGGGCATTGTCTAGTTTTAGTAAAAATAAAGTTAAGGAATAAAATAGGTGATGGCCTTTTGGATGATTGTCTAGTCACGTTCATTTAGCGAGATATTTTTCTTTAAAGTGGATGAATTTAATATAATCGAGACATTAATGTCCCTTAGAAAGTGTCCGCTGAAAAAGTAATGTAATTACCATGGTAAGTTTCTTACTCTCTTTTATGACTATATTTTGAACTATTAATATGGCGTTTGATCTATTCATATTGCAATTGTGTATGTTTTCAACTTATCTTTAATTTTAAGACTTATTGAGTTACTGTACATGCCAAATTATGTTCAAATTTTACAACTGTTACCGAATTGTACGAAAATTTTTGGACACATACTCTGGTTAAATCCTGAATCCGCAACAGAATCTTAGATGAAACTATTTTATCATGAGACAGACTCTATGATTTTTAGTGGAATGACTCTATTTGTTAATTTTAATGATGATATAATGATACGGTGATCAATTAATAAATAACCCAACATATATATTTCTTAAAATGACAAAAAAGAGAAGTGCGCGCGATGATTCATCACCAATTCATTCACTTATTAGTATTTTCTCTCTAGTCCACCCGAAAGAGCATGAAAAAAGAGGCTCCAATAACTCCCCATCTTCATCGTCATCGTCGTGATCCACGGCACCTCTGGGTTCGCACACCGTGCCCGGCCGCATTCCTGCCCATGCCCCCATCACAACGGTCTATCCTTTCCCTTGGAAACGTGCACGCATCGTCCGTCCCCATGTCGCCGAACTAGCAGAGTATCAAGCAACGACACCTACGACCTACCTCCCTGTCCTGCTCTGCTTCCTCCAACTCCAAGTCCAAGAAGCCTCCAACTCTTGTCTCTGCAACGCCAGGCCACAGCCGGAGGCAACCATGGATCAGCAGCAGCAGCAAGGGCCCGACGCGGCGGCGGCCAGGCGGATGGCCACGCTCGCCTCGCACCTGCGCCCGCACCCCGCCTCTCAACCTCAGGTCAGCAAGCGCTCCCGCGCCCCCGCCCCCCCCTTTCCGCTCGTCTGGTTTGTCCTCCGGATCAGGGGGCGCCGGCAGTTTGCTTGGATTCGCTTCGCCGCCGGCCGCCCTCCTGTCTCTCGACTCGAACATCTTAATTGTCCAGCTGCCGCTGTGAATTCGAGCCCCAAAGGTCAAGGGGGTCCTCCCCCGCAGCGCCGGCTCCCCCAAAGCTGGGACCTTGGCATCAAAGGAGGCTCCTTTGGTCCGGATGGGATGGGAGCCGTATTAACATTTTGACTTGCAGTGCCACCAGTCTTGGATCGTCGATCGGGTTGTGACGCCTACCAGTACCAACCGCTACTCTGTTTTTGTCTATGCCAAAGCTGAATTTTTTTTGGAGAGTACAATGGTAGTAAATTTGCTGCTCAGGGTACTGATTCAAATTCAATTCTTGTTCCTCAATGTATCTACTGCTAAATGTTGACCGAACAGCACAGATATTCACTGCATTGTGCAGGGGTGGTAGCATTGCTCCTGCATTACTGAATTCCAGCTGGAAAGTAGTTCGTGCGCCCAAATGTGTGCAATTCTGAAAAATAGTGGAATCCGTTTGAGTCTCTCAGCAAGGAGTACCTAACAATTATAGGATTTATTCTTACTTTCTGATAGTTGAATGACGATGGCTACCTTGTAAACCACATGTGACATGGTTTTAACAGAACACCACCTGAATCCGGTGACGAACACAAAGCTTCCTCCTCATCCTTTTTGGAACCTTTTATATTGATTGCCAACGACCTGTCTAGGGAATTTAGAATTTTGTTCAAATTAGCCTACCCCAACTTGTTTGGGACTTAAAGGCTTTGTTGTTGTTGTTGTTGTTCAAATTAGTCACTGATGATCATATCTGACATGCTAGCTACAAGTTTCTACATTTCTTCAGAATAAAATAGTCACACTACACTGATGATCACATCTGACATATGCTAGCTAAAAGTTTTCTACCTTCTTCAGAATAAAATACTTTTCATATCTGCTAATATTTCTCCTGTTGCTTTGTTTTGAAGGTGGAGGATGTTCCCCTCCTGAGGGGATCCAATTGCCGTGCAAAAGGTGCGGCGCCAGGCTTCAAAGTCGCGATCTTGGGTGCGGCAGGTGGGATCGGGCAGCCACTCGCGCTATTGATGAAGATGAACCCTCTTGTTTCGGTGCTCCATCTATATGATGTCGTCAATGCACCTGGTGTCACAGCTGACATCAGCCACATGAACACTGGTGCTGTGGTATGCTCAACTTCATCTGAAATCACTTCATGGTATTTTTGAATGTTGATTCTGAAGAATTGAACTATAGATTACTGTTGCAGCTATTTGATAGTAGACCTCTACTGCACTTGGTTCCCATCTGGACTCTTAGGTCATATCTAGAGGACATAAAGTGCTGCAACCTGCATCTGCAAACGTGTATTAGCTACTGCCTACTGTACTTAAAGACTCATTCTGAAGTACTAAATTTTGTCACTGGAATGCTTGGGGAAAAAAATAGGAGTTCCCCTGTGAAATATAGTTACAAATTTTTTACCCAGATTTCTTCAGATAACCATTGAAGAATTCTTTTTTAATGTCTGACCACTCACTGATAATTGTGGACAAAGCTCAAAACAAAAACAACTTTGGCCTACTTGGTTACTTTCAGTTTTCCTATATAAGAGTTTAATTTTTGATGGCTTCCGGTTATGTGAGCTCCCTGGATACCCTTTTTTTTTTAAAGATCCGGTTGCCCCGCGTTATATTAATAAGCAAGATATGGAGTTGCAATCTTACATGCGCAAGAGGCGCTATCTCATACAGCAGACCGCCGTATGAGATACCCGGATTCATCTATGCTAATTACTCATAGAATTTGGAGCAATCCTTAGGTAACTAAGTACCCCTCCCCCCGCTGAAACCCAATCTGAACACTCATCCTTAATCCTTGTGAACACAGCCTGTTCTGCGCTCCTGTTACCATTGAAAACTCTAGCGTTTCTCTCCTTCCATATGTGCCATAGGGTCAGGATGGCAGTCATCTCCATGAACCACTCCTCCATGTCGCTCTGCTCGGTCCAGGAGGAAGGCTGAAGGTTTGCGCAGCTGCTCCACGTTGCAATGAGGCACCATACTCTGTTCGCATAAGGACATTCTATGAAAAGGTGAATGGCGGTCTCCAGGCTCCTTTCACATAGCGCGCAGAAGTAATTATTCTTCCATCCCCTTGGCTGTAGCCTGGCTGCTGCCCACACTTGGTCCTGTAGGAGCAGCCACAGGAAGAATTTACAACGTGGTGTGGCCCAAGCCTTCCAGATAAGTTTTGGAAAGTTGGAGATGACTTGTCCACTGAACTGGATTGCGTATGCCGAGTTTGCAGAATATTCCCCGGAGCTTTCCAGTGTCCAGATGATCTGGTCCTCATGTTCGTTTGGAAACTCCAGGTGTAGCGAATGAATGAGTTGCCACAATTCGAAAAAAATCCTTTAGGATCCCTGCACTCAGGTTGTATGCAATGTCGCTGATCCACTTACCACTGAGCACTGCTTCTCACACCGATCTGTTCTTCTGTCTGCTATGTCGGCAAATCAGCGGGAAGAGGGATGCGGGTGACCGCCCATCAATCCAGCTAGAGAACGAGAAGAAGGCTTTCCTTCCATCGTGGACTGTCACTCATGTGGCTGCAGTAAAGAGGGCGATGTCCATCTCATCCACTGGGAGCTTCATTCCCACCCATGGTCTCTGCGTGTTGCTCCATGCTATCCATAGCCATCACAATCGTAAAGCTCTACTAAACCTTTCAAGGTCCAAGTATGCTGAGGCCTCCAAATTGCACCGGTCTGGTTACCAAAGGCCAGCCGACTTTGCACTTTCCCCCTGTGATCTCGGCATCCCCCACCCAAAGGAAGCGCCGTACCTTATCCAAGTCTTGAGTAGTTGTTTTGGTGCCTTGATCGACGTCAGCTAGCTTATATATTGGGATAGCGCTTAGGACTGATCGCACCAGTTCCCTTCTTCCTGCTGCTGGGTTTAGCAAACGGCACTGCCAGCCGGCCCCCTTGATACCCTTGATCACCCTGTTCTGTGTCATGTAAACATAAAATTATTCATCTTGTTCACCATTATGTCTATTTTTTATCTTTTGGTGTAATTATGCTAACCTCCAAATTCTACAGGTGCGTGGCTTCTTGGGCCAGCCACAGTTGGAAAATGCCCTGACTGGAATGGATCTTGTCATAATTCCTGCTGGTGTCCCTCGGAAACCTGGGATGACAAGGGATGATTTGTTCAACATAAATGCTGGAATAGTCCGTACCCTGTGTGAAGGAATTGCAAAATGCTGCCCCAATGCAATTGTGAATGTGATCAGTAATCCTGTCAACTCTACCGTTCCAATTGCTGCTGAAGTTTTCAAGAAAGCTGGAACTTATGACCCTAAGCGTCTTTTGGGTGTGACCACTCTTGATGTAGTGAGAGCAAATACTTTTGTGGTATGTATATCAATAGGGTTTGCCATGATACGTTATACAATATTTTATTTCTTCATGGGCTTAAAATTCATTCATTTTCTGTTTACAGGGAGAGGTTCTTGGACTTGACCCCAGAGAGGTAAATGTTCCAGTTATCGGTGGGCATGCAGGACTTACGATACTACCACTCCTTTCTTGAGGTCAGGAGTATTTTCAAACTTCAATTTCTCTGAAATTCTGAACCATGTACACTTTGTATGATGGAAATAATAGAAAATCAGTAACACTTCATTTATTTTTTATGCTCTGTCTTTTCAATAGGTGAATCCTTCCTGCTCATTCACCTCAGAAGAGGTTAAATACCTCACTTCGCATACAGAATGGTGGGACAGAAGTAGTCGAGGTATACTTTTCCTTACAGTCTACTAATACTCCTAAGTCCTATGCTGCATCTCTTAAGCACGATGAGGGAAGAAAAGTCAGTTCCACAAATCCCTTTTACAGTTTCTCTGCTATGTATGTTGCTTCAGTTCTGCGTCCAATTACAGCACACTGATTTCATTTGTTTGGCTGAACTGAGCAGAAAAATAATCGGCATGCTTAATTTTGAGAATAAGAGTTAGATCACTAGTAAAACGTTTGTGCCAGTTCATGGACAATCACTATGTTAAATAAGAGACACACTAGGCACATATTTGCGTAATTGTTCCATCTTGATCCTGACAACAAGAGTCTATTACTATGTGCCTGTTTATGTGTAACAAAACCTTCCTATCACTTTCATAGCAATATAAGATACCAGGTTTTGGTATTTGTTATTTACGTATGTTTTGTTAAGTGAAGGTCTTGTGCTTGTTATTTTTTCTGAACTCTGGATTGCTCTGCTACATAAAAAAAATCATTTTTTTGCTTATTATTGGTATGTTTCAGGCTAAAGCTGGAGCAGGATCAGCAACTCTTTCAATGGTTGGTATCTTGTATGCACATCAATGTCCATAATGTGTAAGTTTCAAATGTTGATTCAGTTAACACTAATACTACCTTTGCAGGCCTATGCAGCTGCCAAATTTGCAGATGCTTGCCTGAGAGGATTGTGTGGTGATGCTGGGATAGTAGAGTGCTCTTATGTAGCTTCTCAGGTTTCTTTTCTTTCTTGTATACAGTTCAAAACCATCATTCCGGTTCTGCTTTGATTGACCTTTTTGTTGACCTAAATTATTGATTTGTGAATTCTGTTTTCCTTGTCTTGTGGTTGAAGGTCACAGAGTTGCCTTTCTTTGCATCCAAAGTGCGGTTAGGGCGATGTGGCATTGAGGAGATCCTACCACTTGGACCATTAAATGAGTTTGAGAGGTCTGTATTCCATATTCGAACTTGCAACTCAGGTTCTTGTTATGAATTGAAAGTTGCATGCTCTGCATGATTCAACACCCATGTCACACATGCTTTCTATTGAAGTATATCTCAGCAAATTTAGTTTGTTCTGCTTTTCGTCTAGAACAACAGGTTCATCTTGCCCACTCATGTCACCCGACATGATTTGGATCTGCCAGGTTGTAGTAGTTATTACTGATGACCTGTTGGTCACAAATGTTTCATTTGCCAGAATACAGTTCACAGGAGAAATCATGAATGCGTCATGTATGAAGCCATACGTGTTCCTGCACAAACAACCCTGAAGGAACATAACTAGTGTGAAATTGTATGACTTTTTGTTTGCATATAAATACATGGTCACATTATTCTTCACAGCCTGTTAGTACTGAGGTAGGCTGAGGATGAATCATCAAACACACAGGATGATAAGAGTGTGTATCGTTGAATGCCATTATTCCATATCATTTATATATTATGCCGTATCAATTGTTATTGATATCCTAGAGCTCTACTGACCTGCATCACTTCGTTTTCTTCACACATTCACACATCACTGTCATGCAGAGCTGGTCTGGAGAAGGCAAAGAAAGAGCTGGTCGAGAGTATCCAGAAGGGTGTCTCTTTCATCAACAAGTGAGGCCAGCCAACCCAACATAGAAATAGATGTGGCGTGTTTTGGCTTCCTGAAAAACTCTTATCTTGTTCTCTTTGCACAACTGTGTACATGGCACGAATAATCTACATAGGCGGCTGTACTAAAAAACGATAAATATGTGGTCGCCAAAAAAGGAAATAGAAAAGTCTGGTGATAAAAGTTGCTTCTGAACAAATGGGGTTCTGAAGTCTGAATGTTGCCCCGTTGTTCGGGATCAGATGTACTGTATGATATTAGATAATACATTTGCAGTCTCGATGCAGAGCAAGGTTGCATTGGAGCTGAGATGCCCATGGAACTGTGTAGAAATCACAACTGAGACTGTCCTTCACACTATGTTGTTTAGTAACATAAATCCATGACGTGATTTACGCATGATGAGTTAACTTGTACGGTCTTCAGTTATATTTCTATTATGTACTTTCTGAAATTTTGTTCTCTATTGTTGGGGAAGATGAGAAAGTTTGGCAGTGGTGGGGTGTAGCACCCGGTTTTAATGATAAAACCAGATTCACACCATATGTGAACTCAGAAAGTTAAATCTCACATGTAGCTACAAATAAGGGTAATCTCAAAAGACAATGCTCAATATATAACGCACTAGTATAAAGGATATAACCTTAGACAGCAAACAGCGGAAAGATAACTCCGATCTTTGGGTGAAGACTCCAATTCCACAGGGACAACTGACTGGTTGATCACAAGCTTAATTCCTTCAAACTCTAGCAATCTGGTACCCATCCGGGATTTTTCCAAAGATTTAAAAAGTAAAGCATAAGTACATGTCGTACTCAACAAATATAACATGAGGTTCATGAGGCTCAAAAGGCTGACACTAGTTTAACTGCGATTAGCTTTTAGTGAGTCACAATTTTAAGCAATTGAGTAGCAACATGTTTATCATAAGCCCATGTAAACACATGATCAGGTAAACATGAATAATGAATAGCATAAACAATAATCATTATTGAGTATCTTTATCATTTAGTATCATTATTGTTCATCGTCATTAACCATTAATGATCATCTATTTCATAAGGGTTCTAAGGCCGCTCGTGACCGTGAGTATGGCAGATATACCAGTTTTACACTCTGCAGAGGTTGTACGCTTTCACTGTGAGTCGTGATTTACCCTTTCGCCTGAGTTAGCTAGCCTCTTAACCCACAACCTAGGAAGGTCGGCAGGATTCACTATGAAACCTTTCAAAGGTTCGTCTAACAAGTTAGGGCCACTAAGGATTCCCCATTGAAAGCATCTAGGCCCCTTGTTGGGTTTCGGTGATTAATGACAATACAAGATTACTATGACTAACGTATGTTTTATAGAGGCAATTAAGTTAGGTCATGGTAATGGTGATCGATTGGGCAATCGAGGTGGTCATGACCCTACGATGAAAATCGTTTCGGTTTTCAAAGGATGGACGACAAGGTTAAGGATGACTAGTTCTAAGTGTCAATTGTAGTTGGAGTGACACTTGGAGTAGTTTAGGACTTTGTTTTTCCTTTGGCCATACTATTAAGGGGGGTATGGACGGGTAGCTTGACCTAGGTGAGTCTAGTGAGTTAGGTATGGTGCACACTTGTTTAAACTAGCTCTAGGTAGCTCCTACATATGCCTAAGATCCAATGGAGCAAACTTCATTCACACATGATCGAGAGTTGAAGGTGAATGGAGGGTCAAATACTGACCGGACGCTGGCCCCGGTGCGACCGGACGCTGGCCGTAGGGTCCGGTCAGTTCATTTGATCAAGGGACTGCGTTCGGTGCGACCGGACGCTGGAGTGGTCAAGTGACCGGACGCTGAGAGGTAGCGTTCGGTCGACTCCAGTAAGGTTCCAGAGAAGAGAATCTGCGACCGAACGCGTCCGGTAAGTACTGACCGGACCCTAGGGGTTCAACGTCCGGTTGAGTACAGTAAGGTTCCAGTAAGGGTTTAATGCGACCGGACGCGTCCGGTCAGTGGTGACCGGACCCTGTCCGCGTCTGGTCAACTCATTTTCACTGGTTCGCGGGTTGAACTGACCGGAGCGTCCGGTCAACCCGCAGAGGGACATAACGGTTCGTTTTTCAGGCTGTCTTATAAATAGAAGCTCCACTTGTGTGTGGAGTTACTTTTGCTCATTTCAACAGCTGAGAAACATGTTTGTGAGTGCCAAGAAGAGCAAGGTCCTAGTGAGGTGTTTGTGATTTGAGAATCCAAGAGTGAAACCTCATTAGTGAATCAAGAGTAGTCAAGTGTGCATCCATCTTCTCATTAGGCTTCGCGTGGTCAAGTGAGAGTTCGTGCTTGTTACTCTTGGTGATCGCCATCACCTAGACGGCTTGGTGGTGATTGGGAGCTTGGTGATCACCCGGCGGAGCTTGTGGGTGACCCAACTCAAATTGTGAGCGGCTTTGGGTGATTCGCCGCGACGGAGTGTCGAAGAATCAACCCGTAGAGAGCACTTGATTCTTGCGCGAATCAAGGGGGAGCTACACCCTTGCACGGGTACTCCAACGAGGACTAGTGGGGAGTGGCGACTCTCCAATACCTCGGCAAAACATCGCCGCGTTCTTCTCTCTCTTTACTTCGAGCATTTACTTTGAGTATTTACTTTAAGCAATTCAATACTTGTCTTTACATTCATAGAATTGCCATGCTAGAGTAAGTTTGGAACATAGGTTGCAAGTCTTTTGTGCGTTAGTTTGATAGAAACATTTTTCTAGGCACAAGGGGTTAATTGGGCTATCCATAGGATTTGATTATTGCAAGAAAATTTAGAATTAGCCCAATTCACCCCCCCTCTTGGGCATCTTGATCCTTTCACCCATCAACTAGTAAGATCCCTCCCCCAAGGTGTGACTAAGGAAACCAAAGTGCACTCCCTTGGCAGGCCGAGATCAAACCAATCAGAGCCCCTCTTGCGTCATAAAGGTAACCACTAAAGGTCCTCATACTTGACTAAAGCCAGAGCCATGTAGCCCTCACAGTTGTACTATAAGTCTCGGATGATCACTTACAGATAAGTCCTTAGAGAGAGAAATCTATAGCACCATAAAAACAGCTCAATGCTCTAGCCCCATTGTTCTATGTTGCTAAAAAGCATCTTTTAGTGTTTATTGCATAATTCATTAATCAAGTTACAAGATCATGGCTTTAGTTTGAGCACTAGCATCATACTGCTCAATGTAGATTACGCAATTATGAATCTAACGCAACTTGAACGGGTCAAATCGGAGTTAAAACAGAGAAGTTATGGCCTAGTGACAAAACTGTAAATAGATGAAAGCGTATTTTGGATCTAACTGAAATAATTATGTTTTGAAAATAAGAAAACGTACTTTGAGTCTACTAGAAAGAAACTACGCTTCCAGAATAGGAAAACGTATTCTGGAAGTGCGCCATGGACCGCGGGTTCTATTACGCGAAACTGCAGGGGCTCTTTAGTAAAATTACCGGCCGAACTGGTATCGGCCGATCTGAGCCGTTGGATCGAATCTGGACGGCCTGGATTAGATCGGGGAGAGAGGTGAGAGAGAGACGCCGGCGGCGGCTTGGCGGCGCACGGTGAGACCTCGCCGGAGTTCGTCAATCCGATGACACCGGGCATCATTGGCCGCGGGGTTTGCACGGGAGGAGAGAGCGGATGAAGGCGAACTCACCTAGGGGATTTTTGATGGTAGAGAACAGATGGGGACGGAGCGAGGCGATGCAGGGCTCGGCGGCAGCTAGGGTTGCGGCGACACACTGCGTGCTAAAACAGAGGCGCGTCTGCGAGCCAGGGTTGGGACGAGGGCGGCGCGGCACTTGCTGCTCGGTATTTAAGGGGCGAAGCTTCTTGGAGCGTACGGCAACGACACGGAGGAGGGGTGGCAGTGGACTCTGGCGGCGAGTAGAGTCCGACTTGATGCCGACTCAAGGTGGAAGACGCCACCGACGTGTGGGCCCGGCACGTTAGCGACACAGGGATGAGGCCCGACTGTCAGCCAGAGAGGAAGGGAGGGCGGCGACTGCGCGAGTGGGTTGCGGCTTGCGGGAGCGGTGGAGAGCTGGGCCGCGGAGAAGAGCTGGGCCTGTGGCGCGTGCGGGCCAGCAGTGAGAGAGACGTGAGCGCGCTGGCCCGAGGGAAGAGAAAAGTTGGAGCGGGCCGCACGGGAGAGGGAGCAGGCCATGGGGAAGGAGAGGGGATGGGGAGCTGAGCCGGCTGGCCTTCGGGCCAGAAGGGGAGGAGGAAAGTTTTCGTTTTTAAAAAAATTTTAAAACCAAATTCAAATCAGATTCAAATTCTTTTGAAATTTTGATCAAACCCAATCACCACAAAATAAATATGCAGCAGCATGTATGCATAAATATGTTGCTACCTTATGATAAATTTTAAATTAATGAAATTTTATTTTCCTATGTTTTCATGAGCACAAAAATTTCAAATTAAATCATTTTTAGCTCTATTTCCAAAAATTCAAATTTTAGGGTGTTAGGGGGGTAAGAAATAGTCAGGTAAGATTTGACATTTCCCACGGTGAAAAAAAGATGATTTTTGTTCTTGTTTGACAACTTGCCTCGTACAGTTTGTCTGCAGATTGTTAATGCTCGATCTAATGTTGGTGAGAACTGAGAAGGAACCAGATGGTTGATGTGACTGGAGATGGTTGGTGGTATATATGTTTGGCGGTGCTGTTGCTTTCATGATTGATGCAATAAGAAAACAAAAACAACTCCTTTGGGGCCGTAGAACACTGCTGCTGGATCCAAAGCGAGCTTGCAGCTGATGAGACATGGAGCTGCAGCAAACAGCATTTTAAATGGAGACTGCAATAAACAATCTGGAGATCGAGGATGGCATCGCCCTTGGGGAACAGGTGCAAGTGGATCAGTTTGGTTCAGTCATCACACAAGGCTTGCCTTTCATATACAATGCCTGGAACCGGAACTGTGTGAGCTTCACTGTAGGAGTTATTATTTAGTCACATCAAATCCGTCACGGGATTCGTGCTCCATGAGTTTAGCTTTGTGGAGTTCTCTGTTGCTGTCAAAGAAACTGCAGAGATGCCACATGCATGGCAGCAAAAAGGACTGCAGAATATAGTAGTCACACACCGGATATGACACTACTGGCTCTCTGGTATGGCAAGAGGCAACGCCAACTGCAGTTTTTTCTTTTGGTGTACATGTTCATGCTACGCAATTTAAGGGTTTTCAAATTGCAACTTCAGTTGACAATCTTTTCCAGAGGTTGTCAGTCGTTAGTCAGCCAACTACGTATACTGTCTGGAATGCGTTATGCTGTCTGGACTGTATGCAATTTAGTTAACCATTCTAAATTTTGGTTAGAAATTACTCTGCGTGTTGAGTCTGGATGTTCAAAATGATACGAGTATATTTGTCTTAAAATGTAGATTCATAACAATGTCACTTGCATACTACAGGAATTAAGAATGCAGGAAACTTTCTAATTGAACACCTAGACACAACACAGGAGAAATATAGGAATTAGAAAAGGGAGATAGACACCAAGGAAAGCATTTACATTGTTACTCCTCGAAACTGCTGCAACAAGCACTCAAGTAGCTAGGAGAGGATTTGTTGTCTCCATCAGATCTAACAACTGCATTTACGTACGGCTCAGAGCTATAATCATTCAGTCCAGAACACAGCAGAGATTAAAGCTAAGAATAAGCTAGTGTTTGGAAACAACGGCGTGTTGGTTTGCTGGGAGGCAGATTCGATCGCTGGAGAAGCAGGAAACGTGCTTCTTTTACACACAAATCTTCTTTCTTTGTAGATGCTGACGATGATGATGCTTCCTTTTACATTCAGTTATGCATGCAGCCACTCACAACACAACTAAACACTGAAACAACGTCTGCCTACCTGCAACTTGCTTCCAAATTAGCAGGGGAGCAATGCAATAAAATATAGCAGGGCAGCATGGCTAAGCCATCAATTATTGAAACCTGCTTTTCAGCCATGCATGTGCCCAATTGCCTACGGATAGACATTATAATATATACAACTAGCTTAGCTAGCTTACCTTTTGCTAAACTAATATAAAGTGCACTGTAACTTGATACATAAACAAACCAATAGTTTCTTCTCTTATTTTAGATCAAAACAATAGTTGTTTCTTATTTTAGACGATCAAAGGTTCAAAACAATACAGTTTCTTCTGATATGCTGATCTGCCAACTGATCCCAAATCCAAGTTTTTTAATCCCTGTTCCTCAGTTTGGTACTGTACCCTTATATAGCATTAGAGTATTGCCTGTCTGGAAACGACCAGACGGCCGGGTCGGCGGGTCCCTAGATGAGATGGCTGGTGTTCATCACCAAGATGAAAGCATGCTCCCTCACTGAAAAATAATCAGATCGAATTGCAATTTGCAACAACAGATCTCTTGAAATCATTGTTAAGGTCGCTAAACCATCATGCATTATTCCTTGATGGAGGATTAGGACCAGATCACCGATATTAATTAATGTTTGCCGCATGATCATCCATGTTATTAATGTATACACACATGCATGATCCGGCAATGGCATGGTGGTATTGGTATGCAACAACTAACTGCAGAATATATATAATACAGTTGCATCTATAGTACACGATGATGATCTGATGCATATCTTCAGTCATCTTAGCTTGCTATACCAACCGAAGACATGTTACATTTTATGCCAACAACACTGTCCAACTTTGCACTGCATATCTCAACAGCAGCCTTCCCCTGTATCTCACCACCCAAAAAAATGCAGCTCCATCTTTGATTTAATTAATTTGTTGACCAGATCGGAAGAGCTTCGTATCTTCAGAGTGCTGTACAGATCACGCGATATCTCTTAAACAAATGGTGGATACGGAACGTCCAACTAACACAACATTAAATCATATACCTTTATAGCATTTTCTTTTGGTGAGGATCAGATCTTTATACAGCGAAAATATTTTTTTTTGGATGCATGACTCATTCATGAGTCAGAAGATTACATATGTACTGCCACTATACTTCTATACCAAGAAATAATCCAAATTTCTACTATTTTAAAACAAACAATGGTGAGATTTTAAACAAATGGACTAATGATTTGACATGCGGGGGATATCGTATCTCATTTGTTTAGTGCTACTTTGATCATCTAACCTAATCATATAGTATTTTTCAAAATTAAAATATATATTCTGGCCGGAGACCGAGTGCATTGTCGTACATATATGAAATGAAAGGATTGGGTTTTGATGCAAGCAATGCAACTGGGAAATAAAAACAATATAGCAGTCAGTTATTTTCTCTGAAAACAAATTAAAGCAAAATTCTGACATGAAGCAAAAGGTCATTTGATTCTCTCAGTGATTTTGATTGAGCAACAAACAACAAGGTACGACTTGGATCAAAACTTGCAACTTGTGGTTAAGAGATTCTCGTCATGCAATCCATCAACATGCCAATCGACATGATGTGTGCCATCTTTTCATCATAATTTTTACCTGATGATCGTAGTGCGTGTGCATGCATGGGCACATGATGAATGTGATGTTGAGGCTACTGCACTGCATGCAGCATGACTAGAATTCATTCCCCACCATGACTTTCTGTCTGATCTCAGATTTTTATATCATCATCAGATGAAAGAGGTTTGATTGCTCATAAATTATTTGAAGCCCCTTCACCTCTTGGATGGAGACAAGCATGGCTGATCCTCTTCTTAGTTTCTTCAGAACTGCTGCTATAATGTTGGTGCAGCGCCGAGTTAATCCTTCTCACGATCTCATCTACCATGGCATTGAACCCGTCCTCCACCTGAATGGTAATTTTACAAAGTTAATAAACATTTGTCAAAATATACAATTAATGCCATACTACTAGCATGTCAAAAAAGGTAGTTTACATATGCCTTGCTCTAGTGAATTATACATGCAAAATCACTTTAAGGACTTTTAGAGGCATATGGCTTCATGTAAATCTATACATGAATTGTTGTTGAAAACAGCTTTCCAAGAACTATCACATTATATTGGATGCCTGATATGATTATTATTTTTGCATAAGTCAACAAATTACTTTCGTAAGTAGGTTATTAATTGTATTGCACTGGTTGAAGTCTCAAGTTTTCATCTTGCATTGACATTTTTATCAAACTGACGTGAAAGATATTTTCCACACTTGCATTGAAAGTGATCACCACCACCCAACCCTTTTGACAATTTCCACATACCAGTTATTTTCTCACTATATTTCTTGCATTTTGATCGATCGATCTACCACGTTATGCACAAGTAGAGCAAAAATTACATATACTTTTCAATAGATGGAATACCATCTGCCAGCTGCTGTTATCCAAATCACTTCCAAAGTTCCAATGAGCCTAGCATTTATATCCGTGCTAGAGAAATTGTCTTTAAGACTCGAACACATATATCTCAACAATATAGTAACATGGAACCCACAATGTCCTGGTTCATATATACGCATTAATCTTACTATTATATATATGTTTAATCTCTGTGTCTACTCAGTACTCATATACATTTATCCATGGATCCCTTGAGGCAGCACCTGCCCATACAATCATAAATGTAATTAAATTAAACAAAAAACACCCATAAATGAATGTCCAGATGGTTCACACACACACACAATCTCCAAAAAGATGCATATAAATTAACATTATATATTTACTTGCTCTAGCTGGGTGCAACACAAATGCACATGTGAGCTTGTCGGTTGTTGGTTAGTCAGCTAGTGTTGTTGAGGGTATGGTTAAGAGAAGATGCCAATGATGCATGCATGCTGGTGCATGCTATTGATATCACTTTCACTTCACATTGATATCTATCCTATATGCATGGATTCAGGGCGGATATAAGCTAATAAGTATATATGTGTACTCGCCTTGGCTGTGATGGTGATGATAGCGGTGGAGGCCAGGAAGGGCATGACGTTGGTGTGGGTGATGGAGAGCTGCATCTGCTCTACCTCCGATATCACCCTCACCAGCAGCCCCCTCGCGCTGTAGCAGTGGATCCGCAGCAGCACGCTCCTCTCCGACAGCCGCGCCTCGATCTCCGGCAGCTGCATACCACCTTCACCACCGCCATGGCTACTCGCCATGGCCTCGTCCTCGGGCATGTGGCCTTGCTGCTTCGTGACGAGCACCGCCGACTGGATGCCGCCGCTGCCACCGGCTCCATCCTCCTCGAGTCCCTTCACCTTCTCCTGCAGCTCCCTCACGTACTTCACCGCGTCCCCAAGAATGGTGGCCTTGTCCATCTGCAAGCAAGCAAGCTCGATCATGATTCAATGATTGAAGTTAATGCACTGTTGCACCCTTTGTTCTTGATCAAGACCTTAATGTAAGTTCAATGTAGGAAGATACCGTCGATACATACAACTCAATATTAAATCACGGATATACACTTTTGTGGCCTAGTATCTAATTGATACATGTTTGATTAGATATATAATGTTTCATCCAATTGTCATCCAAATGCCTTTTGCAATTACAAATTAAATATATAATGTTTTTTGTTCTAGATGATTCGACGCGCTAGTACATATTATTGCGGCTATAGCAAGCTTAACAATCATAAGAGCTTTCAAAGGGTGCACCTTTTAAACACTGTGGATTGTTTCTCTGTAGCTCAATATTTTCTAGTATGATTTGATATATTTTTTCCAATTCATTCTAGAAACTAGTACTACTACTATTATGTATGATTGGAAGGCTAACCAGAATATATGCTATGCTTAGACTTTCGTCACGAATAACCTAATTTGCAAGCAATCCTTGCTAGTTACTCCATAAACTTAATGACTGCTCAATACTTACCCTGATTTTGTTGAGATGATATACATGCAATCTTGGTGAATATAGTCAGCACAAGATTTACCAAGGGTCAAGGAGAAGAAAGAGAGGTACTTAATGATGGTTAAAAACAAGCATGAAATTAAAGATAAAAAAAGGGAGGAGGAGGATGAGATGTGATAAGGAGATATCTCATGGCAGCTAATAAATCAGTCATGAAAAGAAAGAAAGATCTATGGTGAAGTGAGCTATACCTTCTTGAGGCTGGGGATGACTGTGGAGAGCTCGATGAACCGCTGGTTGATCTTCTCCCTCCGCCGCCGCTCAGCGATGATGTGGTCCTGCACAGGCCCCGGCGACGATCCCGCAGCGGATGGGCCGGCGCTGCCCCCTCTCCTCCCCGCAGACGACGCATCACGTTGTTGCACTTGCACCCTCGCGACAGCCGCCGTGGCGTCCGGCAGCGCGACGCCGGCGCCGCAGTCGTCCGCTGGCAGCGCGGACGCGGCGCTGAAGTTCCAGCTGACCGGCCTGCTGTTGCTGCCGCCGCCAAGGCCCGTGGTCCTGGAGCGCGCGGTGTGGGGGGACCACGCGGCGGCCACCGCGTCGTGGTCCATGGCGGCGCCCGCGCCGGGGCTGTCGCCCGAGCTGCTGCTGTTGGTCAGGCCGCCGTAGTCACCCACCTGCACCGTCAGGTCCCGGACTCGGACGCTGGCGGGCACGGCCTGTGGCTGGGAGGCGCGAAGCGCCTGGAGCGACGGGAAGGCAGCGGCGGCGGCGGTGTCCTGATCTCCGGCGCCGCCGCTGATGCGGGCACCAACACCAGTGCCACCGTCCTGCTGCTGGTATGAGGCGGAAACCGCGGCGGCGGCGGCGGCGGCGGCGGCGGCCGGGTGCTGCTGGTGCTGGAGCTGGTTCATTGCCCACTGGAGGAACGTGCTCGAGTCCTCCTCCATATGTCGATCCATCATCTATCAATCCCTTCTTCTTGTCGTCGCTGTCGTCGTGCTCTGCTACTGCAGTGAACAAATCAGGATGCTGATAATAAGAAGATAAATACTCCTGGAAAGCATCTGAATCTGACGAGATGAGATGGATAGGAATCGAAATCTAGACGATGCTGATAAGATAAAAAGGCAACAAGTGAAGCTGAATCGATGCAATTCAAACTGCTGCTGCTGCATGCTACTATACTGCAAGTGTGCAACCAAGTGCTTGGCTCCAAGCTGGATGAGCTCAGCAGCTCAAGCTGAAGGCAAGGCAGCAGGCAATCAATCAATCAATCACATGCATGTTTGGCTCAGGTAGATTCAAAGACAGATCGGCAGGCATGCAACAATGCAACACAGGCCGGCAGCTAGCAGACGCTGAAGCTCAGGATGATTTGAGACCAGCTCAAGCACCAACTGAAGCGCTGAAGATCGAACGAGTAAGGTAAAGGCAAGAACAAACAGCAAAGCTGCTGGCCATGGCCAACCACAAAAAAAGCTAGTTGCAAACTCCTTGAAGATGGAAGAACAAGAGGAAGAAGAGCTAGCTTAGTGGCCGGCCAACAACCAACAAGTACCTGCAGAAATTTGATGCAGCTATATCTTGGAGCATCCAGAGAAAAAGACTGAAGGAGAGTGTGTGGTCTAATGATCTTGCTATTCTGTTTGCTACATATATGGATCCCTGTGTATGTATTGCTGGGACATATCTCCCCTCACCTCCTCTCTATATGATTTTGTCCTCACACATCTCTCTCTCTCTCTCTCTCTCTCTCTCTCTCTCTGCATTAACTATTCGCTGCTGTTGTAGTGTGCCCTAACCCTTCCAATATTATACTAGTAATGATATACTATTGGAGTTTATTATACTTCTCTTTTACACCACTGTCACAGAAAAGATAGCTAGGTAGCTGCTACCCGATGCTATGCGTGTGTGAGGCTGAGAGCCAAAGCATGTTACAACAATAATTTCACTTTCACCTATATACTATACATCAATCCCCAAAGTATCATTATTGTCACTTCTCAAGAAGTCGATGAGTATCAAGTTTGATCAAATATATACAAAATACGGATATTTATGAGGTGTATTAGATGAATTATGGATTATATTTCATAATTAATCTATTTGTTGATATAAATGTTGATAATATTTTTTAAAAATCTAAAAAATGTTTGACTTAGTCCAAATCTAGAATGACACTCTTTTAGGGACAAAAGTAGTAATTGTTAAACTCTACAATTTTTATGACTTTATGATCTAAGCTTATCAGATTTGATTTTACGATTACTCCCTCCGTCCCAAAATAAATATATTTCTAGAACTCTAATTGGAGTCAATGTTACATGGAAATTATATAATTTCAACACATATTGATTGCACTTTAGAAGTAGAGAAACAAAACCCTACTACAATTAGGTGGACCATGCCTATAAATACATTTGTTTTAGGACAAATTGCAAATGCTAGAAGTGTATTTATATTTTGAGACGAATGGAGTATAAGTTAAGTAGAACCTACAATTTTAAGGCTCTAGTAGTTGTTACGATCCTATGGTTTGTGGCCCTACTAATTGCATTGGAGTTTCGATCTGATTTAGGATCACGATTTTAATTAACGACCTTTCACAAGTAATATATGTGTTTGCTGAACAGCAACCGGACCAGATCGTGATGGGTGAGGTAGCGGTGATCTGACACGACATCATCATCATGCATGCATGATGCATATGTGTACAATGCCATGATTTGCTACGACGCGTGTGCCGTTGCTATATATAGAGATTGATGCAGGGTATAACAATTGACGTGCATATATTCTATCCTGCCGCTATATATATATGTTACCATTTTGTTTGTGTGTGGAACTATTGTGGATGCACGGTCCAAGTCAACTACTGGAGCACATTTTTCTATTAGGCTAGTGATTTGTACCTTGTACTTTGTTAATTGTGGAGGCTCAGTGACCGTTTCTAGGGTTCATAGTACCAGTACCAGCATGTGCAAGGCTACACATATATATTTATTTATAATATCCAGGAGCTAGCTAGGCATATTCGCGTGACATGTTTTCTTTTCCTTAATAATTATGAAACGTGGACTATGTTCACTTTTGAGTTGTGTTCAACTCAGTTTAACTTTTAAACTACCCAAAGTTATTAGTCGAGCATACATAGTATTTTTAAGCATTGATTATTCTTTTTCTCCCTATGTTTTTTAGCACTTTAGTTATGAAGATCCCTTTTGGTAGAGCTTTGGATAGCTTTATTTGTCTTCAGCTCCTCCATGCGTTGTAGCGAGGAGCCATTTTTAACTTCAACGGCTAGGACTTCTCCGTACACTGTAGCAAAGAGCCGAAACCATTTGAAGCTGTGCCAAATAAGATCTAACTATATGACCGGATCGGTGCCACCGAAGAACAAGTCAACTTATTGCCTCGATCAATCCGAAGTTCTTAAAAATAAATACTGTTTGTGCTACGTTTATCAGTAACATGGTGGTGCGTGTTCCAGTACATCTGGACGTCCTTTTCCAAAAAAAAAAAAACATGATGAAGCTACTATATTTTTTTTTTGACGACTCATAAAGGAAAACAGTTGGGCACGTTATGGCATGGGAGTATGGGACCGACGGCTGGACAGCTCGACCATGCATGCAGCTTCTGCAATCTGCAGGGCTAGCATGCTGCATGCACGGTGCAGCACAGTACAAACATCCCATGCATGGATCTTGGTCTGGTCTGGTGTCGTGATGATGAGATGATTGTGTGTCGTTGATCACCAGTACCCCTAATTATTATGTTCCCTCAATAATTGAGCAAATTTCAGTAGAACTACTTGCCTGTTCGCTTGGCTGATAAGCCATGAAAAGTACTGTTGGCTGATTTGTTGTGAGAGAAAAATATTATTCATTGGCTGAAAAAGTACGGTTTATAAGCAAGCAAACAGGGTGACTATTAGCCTATCTCAGTCTCTCTGACAGTCTAAGAAACAAAGTAATGTACTAATACTTACTCCACTTACACATATGTCCCAAATAATTAAATCAACTTTTTTGAGCCAAACTTTTTAAAAGTTTGACTGAATTTATAAGATGTTCATGACACCAAATAAGCACACTATGAAAATATGTTTCATGATCACTACTACAAAACTGACCTTCATTGCTCAGCAATGATAGGACCAACTGGCAATGATATTGGGACATGTCGAAGTCCCTAGATCTACGTGCAGCAGAGAGAGAGAGAGAGCAAAGGAGTGGTGTGGGAGAGGGGGGGGGAGACCATTTAAGAGTTATGACTCTGTTAATCAATTTACAAAGACGAGATTTATTGAACTGCCTACTAAAATAGATTGACTCCTTTTGAAATTAATTAGGTATTTTTTGGAGAAACGGAAACTTTTATACCGCATGTGAAAATAAAAGGTATTGTCTCCTAAAATCGGTTTTAGTAGTATACTAGATTCTTTGGATAGGCTCTCAAGTTCATGTGAGTAATCCTCACCCAAAAAAAAAGGTTTAAGCCAGTAAGTAAATAAAGTGCTCCTAGCCCGCATTTGAAATTCGCAAGTGCTTGAGAGAAAAGAAAAAAAAATGCTGGCCCAAGCAATGCCCGGTCGTCTTATATGAAATAAAAAAAATGATGAGGTTATAGGTATATATAGGTGGCTGTTCATGCCACAGAGAGCGCCCACCATGTTTAATTTGTGTGGTGCCGTGGTGGTCAGAACTGAAATCAGAAACAACGAACGTGTCGCACACTTGACTACTTGAGGTTGTGGAAGATGTGAGTGGATCTTCACTGAGCTCTTCGTTATGCTATCAATTCCCCCACTGCACCAAGGAAAAAGCTAGTAGCTTATAATAGTTGCTGGGCCGGGCAATGGAAAGCAACATCTATCATGCTCTCACACCTGATTATTGGGTTCACGTTACCATCTCATCGCATTTAGCCTCTCACTGCATCGACTTTTAGTGATGGTAACAAAAGGGACGTGTGTTTTGTCGCAACTCTCTAAGACATATATATAATTATGTGATTCTCTAATCTTACGCGAAAACCTCCACAAAATATATATAGTGGCATGCACACACGACAGGTCGTCTCTGCATGAATGCATGATCATGAATAATTATATATACTAATTTGCTTTTTGTTCATTAGTACTAACATTGCTTCATCATATATATAGTATTCATTATTCATCAACACGTCTTGATTATATTGCCAACCTCCACAACATATCTTAATGCTTGCTGGTAAGGTTAGGCTACATCACCTATTCACCTTTTTGTTGAGTGAGTTGTTCAGCTTGTTCTTCTTTTCTGGCCAGTCTTAGTGGAGGTCTCATAAAAGTTTCATGAGCATTAAATAAGTTACACATTTTAACAAATATGCTGATTAAGAGAGAGATGATTAAAGTTTTATGGGACTAAAATGAGTTTCGTGGGAAAAACCAGCCTACACTATTTTCAACGTATGAGAGTTTTGAAAACTGAAAAGTGGAACACGAAACTCACAATGAGAATGGCCAAAAAAACCCCGATCGAGAAGCAGAAGCCTAGCTAGCTAGCTAACAAAAACACATACAGGTCTCTTTCTAAAAAGATACATACACATCACCAACTAACGTTTTTCACACCCAATCAAATTCTTCCAGCAATCTTATAATCACATGATGTACTTTTATTTGCCTGGCCGAACCGTTGAAACCACGTACGGTTTACCAAGGTAGAGTGTATATGAACATCATATATATTGACATAAAGATATAATAACAGGTAGCCCAATATAATAATGGAGTACAGGCCAATCATCTAGTCCATTGTGGCATGCAAATCCATCACGTGCCGCAAACACTGTGGGGACGAGGCATAGCATACATATGTAAACGTGCCTTAATTAAGATAGCGCTGTGCAAATTGCGGCT